AAGCATCATATTGACTTTGTATTGGACGATTGATTGAAAAAATGCTGCAACCAAAGATAGAACAGAATAATATTCATTTACCACAGAATCCTACATCTTTATAACATGGTAACATGCTTGCAAAGGGCATAAAGAGGAGGAAGAAGAGACTTTCTAAACGGACTGAAGGCAAGGGTACCAAAACGGCACCAAAGCCGAGTTTAGTCAAGAAAGGAAGACATACACAAGAACGAACAACAATGATCGTCAAAGTGGCTGAAGGAACGTCGTTCGCCAGTGTTGCGGAAGGTTCGGAAAGAGGCTGACCTAGAAGCCAGTCAGACAAGAGTTGTGGTAGCTTTATCCACTAAAAAGGGAGACCTCCGTATTAAAATTGGAGGGACTTTAAATAAGGCGTCGTTCACCGAGGAGGTGACAAAGGTAATTGGAGCTTTAGGTAAGGTGCAGATTGCGGACCGGCAAACTTAACTACGTTGGAAATCCGCGATATGGATGCCTTTACAAAAAAGCAAGACGTTCAGAATGACCTGAAAAAAATTTCTACGGTTCTAGCAGGAAGGTGACGGCTCTTGGACCAAATAAGCGAGGAGTTTACGCTCGCTGTCGTAGTTACCAGCCAAGAAGACGCTGACAAGCTGGAGAAATTTCGGTACGTTAAGATTGTTTTTGTGTCCTGCAAGGTTACAAGAAGAGTTATGGTTACAAGGTGCCATAGGTGCCTTGACTACAGCCATATGTGACCGGGTCTGAGAAAAGGGACCTACTTACCAAAATCAACTTTTTGAGAAAAATGCGTTTAAAGTTTTCTATCCAAATAAATTAGATTTCTTGAAACATTTTACATTTAAATTAACATGATGAGTGTTCTTTATGTATTTTTTTATGCTAAATCCGATTTTCATGGTTAATAATTGTTCAAAAAACCCTGTAATTGTTATAAACAATTTACTTTGCAAAAGTCAAATTATGAAATTTTCAAAATTAATTTAAAAGACTTCCGGATGTCCTAGAGGTCTGAAATTTTTTATGCAAGTTCAGAACTGATACAATAATGAATAATTCTGAACTCTACAATAATCCATAGTTATTGTTTGACTTGCACAACCAGGTTGCCGATGACGGGTATACTTGGGGATCATCTTCGAGGAATTAAGTCGAATTTTTTGTAAATGGTTTAGGCATTCAATTTAAAATTTAGGGGAAATATTTTTGACACTTAGACGACCAAGAGTAATTTTTGTCTTAAAATTACTAATTAATTACTAATTATTAGATTTTCATAAAAAAACTTTTAAAAAAATTTTTTTTTTTAATTTGTTTAAACAATTGCAAAAAAAATTTTTTAACAATCGGGACTGATTGCATTGTATTTCTAAGACCTTAAGGGGTTACGTACAGTTAGGGCTTCAAAAAAAAGCTGTTTTTTAGGAATTTTTTGTGGCCACACATTAAAATAATTATTAACAAATCTTTTTCCACATAAAATATATATATTTCAAGAAAATTTTCTGAAATTATAGTCCATAAATATAAAGAAATATGCGAATAATAGAACATTTGCGTGAGCTTCTCAAATAAAAATGGTTTCGCGGTGATCACGCTATCTTTTGACTAGATCATCTAAAATCAAATCGTGAAGAAGAAATCGTTAGGTAATGATATAATGCGGTACTTGAACGAAGGGATTTGAAAAATTTTGATTTTTCGCAAAATGGCGGATGTTGAAAGTCAAAAATTGTTTTTTGACCAAAATTTTACTCACATTTTCAGCTATACAAAAAAAATTATTGTCAAAAAAAAATCCTTCGTTCAAGTACCGACCAATTATATAACAAATAAGTGGTAAAAATTTCAAACCGATCGGTAAAGCCGTTCTCAAGTTACAGTGATCACCGACTCCCAAAACATGGTTTTGAGAAAAACGAGTTTAAAGTTTTGAATACCGCCGCCTGGCCACAGTAACGGCTGAGATGGCTGCATTCAAAATTCTATATCTCCATAAATAATAGTCCGATTTGTCTCAAATTTTCAGAGAATACTTTTGAAATGGTATACTTTTAGAAAATGCATTTTTAAAAAAATCGATTTTTTGAAAATCCTAAGTGTACGTAACCCCTTAAACTATAAGAAACCATCATAAAAGAAAAAATTTTTTTGGTAAGTAGGTCCCTTTTTTCAGACCCGGTCACATATAGGTTGAAACTGTCAAGCAGTAGATAGGTCGACTGCGTGCTTCAAGTGCGAAAAAGCCGGTCACAAAAGTAGCAGATTGCAAGAAGCCGGTCGACAAAAAGCTTCTTATGCAAAGAAAAGTGCAGCGACAAAGCTGACATCAACCATGTCGCAGGCAGTGGTGAATGCGGAGTCTTCAGGTCGGCCTTTGAGGAAGCCAAAAAGACTCTCGCAAGAACGAGAAATAAATAGGCCAGAACAAGAGAGGCACGGAAGGGTTGCGCGAGCAACAAAATGGGACCTTTACCCCACGAAGTTTAAAGCTAATAGGTACTTCCTTCGACCAGAACAAGAGCAGTTATCCCCACATAACCTGGGATTCTTTATCCAGGTATCTGAATTCACAGATTTTCCACTTCCGACTACAAAAAAACATGGTCGCTGCTGAAATACTGTTCAGCTCTTTTTAAAGATTTTTCATGAACCTTGTGTGGTTCCTGTCACTTGGAATATAGAATTTTCATATATTCAAGAGCTTGATTCTCTTTGGAGATCTCTGAAAATGAATTGCGCATGCGAGGTTGCAAAAGTCCCGAATCTCCGCGGTCCCTCCCAAGTTGTCTTTTACAGGTTGTCGCTATCCAATGGTGTGAGTGAGAGAACAGATGCGGGCCCTTATCAAAATTAGAAAGAGATACAAAAGATGAAAGAAACTGGTAAGCGTGCGAATCTTATCAGTAGTATAGTTCGTAGGCCGTTAATTTAATAGGGCCGAATTTTACTCAGGTTTCCACTTTTAGAAATTTCGAAGTAGTGTGTTTGTCGAATTGTATGTAATGGTTGTATTAAATGAAGTTTTAAAGATTAAATAAATTAGCCAATTGTTAAGTGAAATATTGTGTTTCATTATTTATTTGTAATATGAATGATTGTTTGGCTAAGTCATTGCGGTAAGTCATTGTGTCCAACATTCTGATGTCTTGTATCCGTCTGTTGGTCTGTGGCAAAATCTCCTCTGCGATATGTCTTTTTGTTTTTGGTGTATCATTGAACGGTCGATACAATTAATTTCATTATTATAAGACCGAATAAAAAAACCACCAATTCACTAATTCAATTTAAGGGTAGGGGAAAGGTATTAAAATTATGAGTATTTTAGTTCCATTGGTTCAGGCTTCAGGATTCATGTTTTTTTATTAAATAATTTGTTTATTTTTAAATTTGCAATATTTTTGGCTACCCACTTTGAAAAAACGATTCCTGAGCCATAAGAAATATCTATTGCTAAATTTTTTAAATTGCGTTTTAAAGTTTAAAAATTTCGTATGAAATTTGGTACAGTACTTCATTACTGGGAGATTTTTTTAAAAACGAAAAAAGTATTAATTTTACAATAACAAATTTGCCGATGTTTTAAAAAGAAAATGGTTTTTTTGGCTTCAAAGTGCTGCATAAAAATAAAAAATAATTATCCTCCCAGGATTACCCTTAGAAATGTTTCCTTTAACAAATGTATTTCGATTTTTTTGTTTTAAATGGTTCTGTTGCGAGATACAGCGTACACCCTGAATTTCTTCCACTGTTTTAGGCTGACACCATAATTTCAAAAAAATTTACTAAATATTATATAATATTTAATTTTATAACTAACAGAGACCGAACTTACTGTATTGAAAATCTTTAGAGAAGACTGTATTCTATAAAATAATTATTTAAAATTATAGTGCAAAATAAAAGTTTGCAATTATTGTTCTAAGGACTGCAAATATCGAATAATAGTTGTAATAATCTATTAGTTAATAAGTAAGAATAAAAACTTTTCATTTTTAATAACATATTTATTCTAGATATAATTATAATTAGAATTTTAGGTTTTATATTTGACAAGATTGTTGTAAACAACTAAGTTTCTTTTTAAATTGAAAGATTTAATAAACGTGCTTTATTTAAAATTGGTTTTGCAGTAGTATTAATAAACATTAATATAGAATTCTTCTTTCTTATTAATTATATACAAGAAAACATTTATTAAATATTTATTTCACAACAAATTCATTATATAACGTAAATTTATTTATAAGGCTAAGAAAATGCTGACATGATTTCTGCAGCTTAACTTGTTGACAGACGCTCAGATCTGAAAAAATTTCAAAAATATCTTGTAATTTATTGTTAATATAAATTTTAGGCACAATATTCAAAATAGATACATAAAAGATAATCAGTTTGTTTTATGTAAGGAATCAAATTTTATTTTACATTAATTTTTATTTGAAAAAAGAAATAAATTTTATAATACAACAAAATTTTTCAGAAACTAATTTTCTCTGGGTATCTCTAGAAATCATTGTCTCTATTGTCATTTTAATGATATAAATGAATCTATCAAATTTAATTGCTAAAACGTTTTCAATTTATTCTGTTTAAAAGAAAGTGCCTTCTACACAAAAACAAACATACGTACATTCAAAGATTTCAATGGTAATCATCCCGAGCTCCGCAGCATATTGAAAAAAATAAAAAAGAGAAAATACGTATCTCATGTTTTTAGACATTGAATAAAATTTATAAGTAAACTTGTTTATTTGTTTATTTAAATAATTAAAAATTAAGGTTTGAAAGTAATTTTGTCTTTGGTAGAATGTATTAAAATAATATATGAATATTTCAAACAAGAGAAAAACTATAAGAAAAGGGTGTGGTTCAGAAAAAGATTCTCACTCGAAAGCTACAAATCATGTATTTCAGACCATTCTAGCAGCAGCTGCTAAAATGTAATATTAATTTTGTTTGGAGTGAAAAAGCCTAAATAAATTAACGCTGTTATATACAGATAAAAAACTGTTTATTTACATAAAATTTTTAAATAGGAAAATCTATTTATATTTTAAAAATGTAAACGTACATATTAATATATAGTAATTTGCATTTTATCAGTTTACATTAAAGTTAATATTTCGAAGTTTTCAACACAAGTTCAGTTTTCGATAAAAAGCCATTTAAGGGGACCTTCTGGTGCAGAATTTGTAAAAAATACACTTTTTAAAAGTTTTACTTTACCTGTTTTACATAGATTAAAAATCAAAACGGATTTCTCTTCATGAGGTTTTTTTTCCAGAAAAGAAACCTTAAAAACTATTTTTTTAATGTTTTACAATTTTTTATACACATTTTTTTCAGAAAATCGAAAAAATGCTGTATTTCTGGGTCAATGTGAAATTTTAGAGGTTTGTTGTCTAGTTTTTTAAATAAAGATTGGAATGGTTTTTTTTACCCAGAAAGTTCCCTTGAAACATGTGAATGTTTTTGAAATGTTTTTACGAAGGCCACTAAAAGATAATTTTATTTTTCATGTAAATGGTAAGTATTACTGCATAACGCAAAATTATAAATTTAATACATGTACCGTCGTTTTTCAATTATCTCAATGCTTTTCAAAAGTAGAAAAGAGAATCGTGCGGTGATTTGATGATACATTGATGCATATCAAAACAATTTTACTTACTCAAGGCCCAAGGCCCAATTGATACCACGTACTAGGAACAAAATTAATGGCTGCCATGCAACCAACCACCTGATCCAATCTAATAACTGGCCATAAAGAACGTGTGGTCGTTCCCATCTGTATATTTTTATTAAGAAAATACAATTGAAAGTGCATGGAAAATAAAATAAACTTAATAGTTGTAGTGATATGACAAAGAATAAAGAAGAGATTTTGTTTATCAATAGTGGATGCTTATAATGATATTTGTAGATAATAAAAGAATAATTTTATAGATATCATTATAAACGCCGAAGCATTTTCAATCAAAAACAGTACAAAATTGTTTAATTTAATGCATTTGTCCGAAAACATGCTCTGACATTTATAATGATATCTCGCGAACCAAATAAGATTTTTTAACTTTTTTTGAAATTAATCAAATTAATCAAATCAATTTTTTAAAAGGATACGGATTGCAAAACATTTTCTTGAGATCAACTTTTTCTTTGCAGTAAGGACAAATTTGTTTCTTTCCTACAATGCACCAACCTCGGATGCAAAACTCGTGAAATTCGTGTTCACAACTAAGTTTATAAGTGTTTTCTATAACTCCTTCTTCGTTTTCAGAAACTAGAAGTTTGTTTCCACACACAGCACACACATGTTTGTCTAACGTTCTAGTTGGCATTTTTCCTGGTGTATAATACTGAAAAATATAGTACAAAATGTTAATTTTTTAAATTAATCAAGTAGAAATAAAAGGGAAGAACTCTTTATGCTTTTAAGATTTCCACTATTTCTATCATAAAATAGTTATTTTCGATTAAAAAACGTTTCGTTAAAATGACAGTTCGGTAAAATGACACTTCGGCCAAATGACAGTTGGGGAATAATCATACGCCTCAGAAAGTATATTTTGTAACAAAGTAGAATAAAAAATAACAAATATACGTTCTGTAAAAATTCGAATGAGGGTATTTAGAAATTTTTTTATTTGGGAACAATCATGGGAGTCGAAAAGAGACATTCATCTCTCAAAGGGAGTATTTCTATTGCCGCTATAATCCACATAATCGCTCAGCAAGTGATTGCACGCTGGACAGTCACTCTAAATATGGAATAAGTTCTCGTTTTCCAGTTAGCACGATTCACAAAAGGATTCCTGATTTAATACTATTTTCTTTTTATCAAAGTAAGCTCTACAAACATATTTATTTAGTAGTCTGAGTTGAGCAAGAATTTTTTTGTATCTTAAAGGCATATTTAGGGAAAGGTAGTTTCGCGAATCTCCCGGGGTAATAACTATAAATAATTAACAAATAACATAACAAATTATAATTAAAAATAACAAATTAAAAATTGATAATTAACAAAAATGTAATAAAAAATAACACGTGTAATAATAGAACAGGTTCCACGTGCGATCTCATGGATGAGTCAAACAAGTGTTCATACAAACAATGGTTTTTGAAAAATACATGGCTTAGGAGACAATTTTTTAGTATAACAAGAGCGAAACTATCAATTTTTGGTTCCACATGGTAGCCCCCTAGAGTAATTAATCGCTGTGAATATAGCGATTAATTATAATTAAAAATGACTACAAAGATTTAAATACATTCACCAAGTTGAAGGAAGAAATAGTTTGTTTGTAACGTGCCTCTTGTGTGCACATACTACTCACATTCTCCCAAAGTCTACGTTTTGTAAACTTTAGAAAATTGAGAGTTCTAATTTCAAGTTGAGAGATTACACACTAACTTACCCCTATATGAGATGCCATTTTATCAGCACATATTTCAGCAACATCTCTTCCCAATACTCCAAAATATAGTCCATAAAATAAACACAGTAAAGCAAAATCCATCCAAACTTGTGGTTTCATGTTGAAAATATAATTTAAACCAAAGAAAGCTGCAAGCATTGCAAAATAACCAACGATACCGAAACCGTAACTAAGTTTGTATATAAAATAGAACCACTTGTATACCAATCTGAAAAATATTAATAGTTATACAAACATAAATATGTTGCAATTAGTAATTATGAATAGATAATTAAGCAAAGTAATGAAATATATTAAACCTTGGAGTGTTCCCCTGCAATGGATGCTGTAAAGCTTTCCTCATAATAAGACCAGTTATGCACGAAAATACTAGCCATACAAAAATGAACCTCCACCAAAGATTTTGTATACAAATTCCTAATGGTATAATCCACATGGCTACTAATGTAACTAACTAAAATAACAAATAAGTGTTAATTTAATTAATCTAAATTTTAAATATAAGGTGAGTTGATAAATAAGTTGTTATTAATAAGCACCTGATATGATCTGCAGTGCCTTTTCTTCCATTCAACTAGTGCAATTTGGGCTACTATTAAAGTTACCAATAATATAAATAACATCTCTGCATGCATTGCTTCGTGACCTCGATGCAATTCGTGCATCTTTATATGTTCCAGTCTATAAAAATAAACGTATATTACATACAAATTTAATATTTAGGTATGTAAATATAATTTAATTACATATCGGTCTTTATTTCTATAATATGTGAAATGATAAATGGATTATCATATTTTGCACAATTAAAAGTTTCCAATCATATTGATAGTAATTTTTAAAATTCAGCATTCAAGCTATTTAGAAATAGTCGTTATATTGCAGCTGAAAATTTTCTACCACCAATACAATTCGGCTTTGCACCCCATCTCCTTTTCTACTAAGCCACTTACATTTTTCTCATACCCAACTGACTTGCAAATTTATCGCAAGCTTGCAACTCCGGATCTTAAAAAGGCACATATTTTTTTTATAGTCAATGTTGCATGTGCCCTCTTAAAATCTGGAGCCTCAATTGGATAGTCTCTAAAAACAAATGGAAAAAGAGGTGAGTACATATTTTTAACTTTAAGGATGTTGGAGCAAGAAAGGTATTTAAAAATGATGGTCACAAGTTATACTTTTTTTAAACGAATGTTTACCGTTTGGGAAACATTGATCGTAATTTGAAAAGAATAACTAATTTTGAAAATTCATCGAAATTTCTTGAAACTTGTTTCTTGGGGGTTTTTATGATCGCTGATTACGAATTTAGCATTGACTTTAAAATTCAAAATGGCGGATCTAATGTGGCGAACAATTTTTACAAAAATCATCTAATTCGCTTGAATCTTGTCTCAATTCCAAAAAAAAAAAATTTTCTAAAATATTATGGGGATTTCGAGTAACAAAGTTGCCAAGATATCAATCTTTGCTATTTAGTAAATTAAAGTTAATAACATTTCGTTAAAACATTAAAAAACGCATTTGTAAATTACCTACTTCCAATACAAAGGGGTTCTGCCAAATTGATTTTTTAATAGATTTACATAATAATATCAATGACACAAAATAAAATTATAAATTAGGTTATCTGGATATTTTAATGTATACAATTATCTTAATATTCGGAAAAAATATAAATAAATATATTAAACAAATTTTAGTGTAGAAATCTTTATTCATTACAAAATTTTTATAACATACCTTGTCAAAACTTACATTATTTATAGTTATAACTGAATTATAAATTTCTAGAAAATTGGAATGGTTTTTGATTAATGCTGACAGAAGATGTAAACTTGAGTTAACAAATCCAAGGCCATCACGCAGGTATCTAAAATAAAAATCATACATTTAGAATCGTAGTATTTATTTGTAAATGATCAATTGTTACAGTAAATAATTTAAACTAGTAGAAAAAACAAATCTTTCAGTAAAACACACGTAAAGTGGTATAGAGAAAATTCTCAACAAAGTGCGGATACGAATTCTATGAATCTATTGCTAGCAACTAGTGAGTTTCTATAAGCTATAGAAAATTTTATTTACTTTATGTTGTGCCACTTCTTTAAAGTAATTATGTACAGTTTAAGGTCGATTCTATCACTAAATCGCATTAATAGGTAAAAAAAATTGTTGAAATGAATGCTCAGTCCGACTCAATGTAAATGAGAATTTATTTTTACGCTTTATAAACGTATTCGTCACATAAACTCAAACTTACAAAAAACAATAATTTCTACAATATACTGACAGAAATGTTCTTACCATACGTTCCAAAACTTTACAAAACACTCTGCTTTCTTATCTGTTCCCGTCAAAACCAAAAATTCAGGCATTTCAGGCAATTACAAACAACGTCTAATGTTTGAGATGATTCTTACTAGTTTACAAAACAATTCTACTAATAAAAAAGATGACATACAAATACAAAATTATTACTACATTCACTTTAACGAAAAGATATATTTGTAATTTATCTATTTTGATTTACCTTGGCAGATCCCTTTTAGAACAACTTTATTTTCTGCTTTGCTAATTTTTTGGTAATTGATTTTTTAAAGAACTATTTTGTTAATTGATTTTTAAAGTTTTTCTTATGGACTACGAACTCACTCTTCGAAATACATCGAGGCATTCACTCAAGTTGATACTGATCAGACGGATATTTCCTAACATCCTTGCTCTGCATCCCAGGTGTATAAAGGTGCTACTCTTACACCAGAGTCTATGCCACAGAGATAAATTCATATCTCAGGGTGCTACCTGGATAAGAAATCGCCGTTGTGTTTCCTTATTTAACGAACAACGAATCATCAAATGTTAATTACTCACGTTCATGATTATTTTATTTGTCATTTGCAAATGCTCATTTACTTGTGTTATGGAATTATATTGTTAATGAGTATTATTTCTCGATTATATTCTCGATCATTATTATTTTATCATCGTTGTACTTTATTTGTTGTTATTATTTTTCTATAATATTATTGTTAATTCTAAATATTTATTAGTTTGTATTGTATTATTATAATATACATTTCTTTCGAAGGTTTAATTCTCTTCTCTTTACTGACTACAACTCTTCTCAAAATCACAGATACAACGTTATAGTTTTTGAATAATAGTAAGCTCGATAGATGGCGCTTAGCCTCAATAACTATTGATAATTAATTATTTAAATAATATTTAAGGAAACCCTGACTCCATCCAGCGAGCGAATTCCTAGCAGATAAAAAAGCATATCATTACATTTGTAAAAAGGATAGATATGCTGTTGAGACATAAATAAAAATTCTTATTTACATTAACTCGGAGTGATCGTTCATTTCAACAGTTTTTATCCTAATTGTGTAATGGTTTAAATTTAGTTAACATTAGCATTGTGCTGCACGAAATACGTCGAATTTGGAACAAGTCCAAAAGATGTGATCAAAATCTTGTTCAATATTGGGACAATATTGGCAATTGATTTATTAATTATTTTTTCTACCTATAACTATTAATACATGAGAGTATAGATCGGCTGGCGTGATATAAAGTGAAACAGTTCTTAATCTATTACTTGCGAAGTTCACAAATCAAGACTTCCTTCCAGGTTAATAGAAATATTTTATACATTTAATTCTCTTTTTTACCTACACCTTTAAATACGAATTTGCTCAAATGATACAGAAAAAGGTAGAAAATGGAAAAGATATGTTTAGAGGAACTCGGTTGGTGATTGCGTTCTTTGGTACTTTGTTGGATGTTTCATTTGCATTAATTTCTGAATGATCATGCAGATGCAGAGAAAATAATCATCCTTTTCTAGCAAATCATCTATACTTCTTTTGAATATACTCTTTCGTTCGTTTTTGGTACTATCAGACCAAGGACTGTAGTGCCCAAAATTACGGCTGCTCTAGAATAGGACGGAGTCTGCAGCAATAATACCAAAACGAACAAAGAAGTACATATAAATGATGTTTTGATATAAAGTGTAGATTTCTTCCGTGCAGGAATCTAAATAGAGGTTGTTGGTTGATTCCAGTTATTAAGGAATGTTAATCGCTTTTTAATAGCCATAATGATATAAGACTAAGGGCTAATTCCGCCAACCTCAATTAAAAGTTAATTAATGATTGAAACCAGTTAAAAAACTAAATTTTTTTTTTTAAATTGAAAATTTTTTTTATTGCTAATTGCATTTAAACAATGAAGAACTTGTTTTTTAAATTTATTATTTTGATATTAGGAAAGTAAAAAATATTCGCTTTGAAATGAGACCTTAACCAACTTTCTATCTTTACTAGAAATTAAAATAAATAACCTTTTGTAATCTCTTGATTTACAGTAGGGTGGGCAAATCCTACTGGCCTGCACTGTATATGCAGTTCAAAAAAGGTTTTTCTTTATCCAAATTTAGAAGTATTTTTTAACAATATCAAACCAAGATAGAAAAAAGTAAAAAATGTTAGAAGATGCAATCAATTAAAAAAATGTTTCAAATTAGTTGAAAAATCACCTTTTCAAAAAATAAAACAGTAACTTTCATTTCTATAATATCCCAAAACAGTCAAACTATTTGAAAATATTAAATGTACTCTGTAATAGTAAAATACATATGCAACATCAAACATTATTTTTTTATATCACTGTAAAAAGTAAGTATTATTTTACGCCTGATTATGGTTCAAAGAACTTACTTTAGCCAAAGATATGAATCAATTTCAGTTACAGAAACTGATATTTAGACTTAAAATTCGGCTACTAATATAAGTAACCGAATTTTAAGTCCTATTTTTTGGTATTAAATATAATACCTAAAAATAGGAAGAATTTAAGCAAGAATGCATTTCAGTTATAAGTAATTAAGACTTTTCTTTACAGTGATATCAAAACTCTACGCACGACAAAAATTTGAATTTTTGAAGATAAGACAAATCCTAAAAGTTAATCAAGAGTCCTACCTGGCTTAGGTGGTCACAGAAGTCATCACTATTGAACTTCTTCACAATACTGTATCACTTAATTTATCTTAGATACTTGAATTAAAATATCAAAATTACCGAAAAATAAGCATAAGTTTATGAGCTATTTCCAAACTTGATATCTCATCAAAAAAATTACCCATGTTTTTTTAATTAAGCAATATTAAACTGTGCCTAAGATACTTAAAATGTGATAAAAATCATGTTTCGTAAATTTAACATAAAATCTAAAAAAAAACTTATATTTTTTAATAAGAATTTAATGTTCTCTTTCAAAATATTCGAAAAATAAAATTCATACACATATTTAAAAAAAACTTTATTTTTAATATTTTAAAATACTATTGAAACATTCGCATAAAAACAAAAAACGGGAATTTATTACAGAGCTTCACAAAAAAGTTTTGATCTGGAGGTCTAACTGAGATTACTGTATGATGCAAAGAAAGGGCAAAACATTGTAGGAGAAATCTTTTTGAGTTTAATTTATTACTTCATTTACTTCTGTAAATATCCAACTCGAGAGGGTAGGGGGATCAATTTTACCAACTTTGCTAAACACTTTATGGGTATTATATATGTCGCAGGCAATAAGGAGAATTAGACGTTTAGCTTAATTCTTAAACATTAAGCTAAATGGTGGCAACTACACCTTAATGACGCGTA